TCCGTTTCATCCTCCTCTACTCTTTTATTCTAACCTCTTTTCTCCTCTCCCTTTTTTATCTCCTCTTTCTGCTCCTCCCTACCCTTCTCCTTCTGCCAAAAGCGCGCTTCAGCCTGCCTGGATAAGTAACTTCTCCATTATCCACCCATCTTCCGATTAACCATATGCAAGTTGGCTCCAACCTCGCTCGCGGCCTCTGCTCACTCTCTCCGTCGCCCCTCGACATCTCCCCCTCCGACCACTCTCCAACGCTCTGCCTTCCACTTCGTCTCACCGACGCCTCTTGCAGCTCTCTTCCTCCATTTCTTGTACCCTTCTTTACCTCCCCTCCTGTCTCAGCTATTATATGCATTCTCTGCCATTTTGGCTCTCCATTTCTCTCTCCTTCTCTCCTCATACACTCTTAAGCACTGCATTTAAACGGCACCCACCTTCACTCCTCGTGACGCGTTAGACAATCACACACACACACACACACACACACACGCTGACTGTATATCTCCTTCTCCCAGACTTCAGGCTTAAGTACCTACCGGGCCGTCCGAGGCAGCGGAATGACCGGCTCAATGTATAAAATAACGATTGAAGAGAGAAATTGTACTCCCTCTTCAGTCGTGTTCGTCCGGGTGGTCGTGTCTTTTGCTGTTCGTGGAAATATTCATTGTGTTCCCTTAACCTACACGCGAACACAATGCTGCACACGCTCAAATGACCGGCAGACAAGCAGACAGACATGCACACGCACACACTGTCTGTGATCTATTGACCATGCAGGAGAGGGTGCCTGCGTGTCTACGTCAACCAGATTTCCAGTCTGTCGTCGGTCCCGGTGAAGACTGTTCTGTGAATGGGCCAGAACGTACATATCGGCCAAAGGTCCGCCCACACACGCACACTTGGGCATTCTTGCAAAAGGGACGAATGTTTGTTTGTGGCCGCGTGTGCGCTTGCACATCGGCGTCCTCCACTTCTGCACCCCACGTTCACATCTTCTCGAGGGCTCTAGTCAAGAGCCCTTGAGAGTCGACACAAGTGCGCGATGTAGAAACGCGGTCTTGGCTCGGGCTTTGTCATGCCTCCTCTGCCATAGACGCACCCATGTCACACACACACACACACACACACACACACACTCACAAACACACAAACGACGTTATGAACCCACCGACTGGCTTAGAGCGTCGCTGGGCTAGGCGAGGTGAGCGCCAATAATGACGGCTTTGAGTCGGTTGCTTCCAATTTCAGTCAGTAAATCGTGAATTAAATGAAAGAGCACTCGAGTCTCGCGCTGCAGTCTCGGACGTGGCCGAGTCCGGTCCGGTCCGGCCGGTCGGCGAATGCCGATGCTGGTCTGGGGGCAAAGAAGACGTCCGGCGGAGCTTGAGTGTGGCCGTGGGGCGAATGGACGGGGGGTGCTCGCCTCGAGTACCGTCGTTCAGCGGCCGGTAATGCGCCAAAATCGCGCCCCCCAACTCGGCTGGGATTCGATTTAGCCTCTTCGGTCGCCTCGAACGACGACGAGCCGGTGCGCGAGGATCCCGTCCGAGACGCGACAGCCGAGCCGAGACAGAAAAGTCTCTCGGCCTGTGCACATGCATGCACATGTCGCCGTGACATATATATATATATATATATATATAGAGAGAGAGAGAAAGTTAACCGCATCTTGGTGTGTATGTCATTGTGTGTGTGTGTATGTGTGCATGTGAAAGTCTGTCGAAAAGGGATGGACAAATCAAGAAAGGTCACTTCGTCAATGGCGCTCGAGGCGAGAAGTGACGAAGAGGCTGGAAGGCCGAGTCCGCTGGTTGTCAGGGTCTCTGAACTGAATCGACCAAATGGTGAAGACATCCTCCTGCTCGGATACGTCCAACCAAAGCCTCCATTCGTCCCGTCGTGAAACACATCTCGCCAGAGGTGAAGTACTGGAATTTCCCACTTTCCCATTGCACCATCTCGTTACTGGCTTTGGGAAATACAAATGTTTTAGATCGGTACAGATTCCTCTCACCTGAACGGCAAACTGATTGGTTATAAATAAAGATAAGTGGTGAGAATAAATGAAATGAGATTAGATGAGAATTAAAAAATTTGATGAGCGTTTAATAAGTAAGAGTAAAT